TTTTTCACTCTGACTTGGGACCCCAGCCCTCTTTTAGAGTGTCACACCAGCCGAAGAGAGGCCTTATAGCTTCCCATTGCTTAAATAGTCTTCTCCCCAGGGCAGGAATCTTCTGTTCTACATTCTCCCTTCCATGGAAAACTACCTGGGTCAAAGAAATCACGGTACCAGGTGGCATGGTCACATGTCTTATAGTCCAGTTACCTTTGGACTTGAAGGATAAAGAAAGCTGTTTACAACTTAAGTTCATCACTCTGTCATTAAGGCTTGATGGAGGGAGCGGAGCATCAGTAATGGCTCTCATTAGCATACTTAAAATTATAAACAGTCTCATACTACATATTTCTAACTTCACTTCAAGAATCACACGTGCAACAAAAAATATACAGATCCAGCAGATTTTAACATGAAAGTTGATAAGTTACATGAGACTTTATCCAAAGTATCTATTATGCATATTTGTATTCATAAGCCAGTTTTCATAAAAAATAGACGGGAGAACTGTCACAGTGGTATTGCATTGTACATCATTTGGACCTCAAAACACGTGTATATATTCTTGAAGGTGAGGCAGAACAGTTGAAAGTGTCTGGATAAACATAAGAGGGAGGAGAGAATGGGGATACTTCATGGAATAGTTCTACTGTAGACCAGGAAATCAGAAGGTGGCTGAAGGATTTCTAGAACAAATAGAAATATCCAACACACAAGGCCTGTTACTAATGGAAGACTTTTTACTAATGGACCTTCCCAGGCATCTACTGGGAAAGTAACATAGGAAAACACATTTCCAGTAAGTTCTTGGACAACTCCTTGTTTCACAGAAAGTGGAGGATGAAATCAGGGACCAGTAAGTTAGACCTGATTCTGACCAACAGGGAGAAATTGGCTGTGACTCTGAAGATCGAAGGCAATTTTGTGTCAGTGATGATGAAATGATGGGGTTTCATGATTCAAAGGAAAGAATGAAAGCAGCAACAAAGGAACAGTGGACTTCAAAAAACCAGACTCTAGTAGACTCAGATGTAGTAGGTAGGATTCTATTGGAAGAAAATCTAAGGGATAAAGGCCAGGAGAGTGTCAGTTGAATATTAAAAGTATGACTGCAACTATTCCAATGTGAAGAAAAGATAGGAAGAATAGAGACCCCAGTATGGCTCCATCAGGAGCTCTTTAATGATCTGAAATTCAAAAAGGAATCCTACAAAAGTAGTAATAAGAATGAGTCACCAAGGATGTCTGCCAAAAATATCGTATAGGGGCAAAAACAGAAATGCTATACCTAATGAAGGCAAGAAGATTTTTACATTAGGTGCAAGAAAAAGATCAAGGAAACTGTAGATTATCCACTTAATGAGAGAAGAGCTAATAACTGATGCCATCCTGAAGCTAGGATGTTTAATGCCTATTTTGCAGCCGTCTCGCTAAAATGGTGGTTAATAAGATACTCAACACAATATCAACAAAGGGGAGAAAAAGCCAAAACAGGGAGGAAAGAGGCTAATGAATGCATCAAACTTATGTAAGTATTCAAGTCAGCAGGGCCTACTGAAATTTATCCTAAAATAATTAAAGAACTAGCTGCAGGAATTTCAGAACTGTTAGCAATCCTCCTCCATGAGTTTTGGAAGCTTTTGTAAGTTTCCCAGAAGACCGGAGAAGGGCAAACATGGTACCAATCTTTAAAATGGAGGCACAATGTCGATTCAGAGAATTAGACTAATTAGTGATATCTGGAAAGATACTGGGGGAAAAAATGAGTAATGAATTCCTAAGTCCCTTGAAGATGATCTTAGCAGTATAAGGAATAGTCTGTATGGACTTGTCAAGAACAAGCCATTCCAAACTAACTTACTTTACTGTTGACAAGCTTACAGGTCCAGTGGCTGGGGTGAAGCTATAGATGTGATATATATATTGATTTTAATAAGGTCTCCTGATGGTCACACGTGACATTCTCATACGCAAACAAGGGAAACATGGTTGATATGAAATTTACTGTAAGGTGGATGCATAACTGGTTGCAAGTCTGTACTTGGACTAGTTATCAATGGCTTGTCAGACGGGGAGAGCATAATTCGTGTTGTTCCACAGTGGTCAGTCCTGGGTACAGTAGTAGCCATTACTTTCATACGTGACTTGGATAGTGGAGTGGAGAGTGGTCCATATAAAATTTGCAGGTATCATCAAACTGGGAGGGTTTGCAAATACTTTGGAGGACAAGATTAGAATTCCAAGTGACCTTGACACATTAGAGATTTGGTCTGCAATCACCAAGATGAAATTTGAATAAAAACAGGTGCAATGTACTACACTTCTGGAGGTGAAATCAAATGTGTAACTACACAGTGGGAAAGAACTGACGAGGTGGTGGTACTACTGAAAAGAATCTAGGGGTTATCTGGATCACAAATTGAATGAACCAACAACTTGATGCAGCAGCAATAAAGAAATGGCTAATATGGTTGTGGGCGGTATTAGCAGGAGTGGTGTGTGTAAGACACAGATAGAATTACCCTGTTTGGTGCCTCAGTGGGGGTACTGTGCCATACTTTAGGAGAAAATGTGGACAGATGAGTGTCCAGAGTAGAACAATAAAAATGATAAAAGGTTTCAACCTTCCTGTGCAAGAAGGCTTAAACTGGGGATGTTTAGTCTTGAGAAGACTAGGGGCAGTGCGGCAAACCTGATAAGCCTTCTAGTATGTTAAGGGCTGTTTATAAAGGATAGTGATCAACTGTTCTGTATGTCCACTAAAGGCAGGATGAGAGGGAATGGGCTTAATTTGCAGCGAGGACATGCTAGACAATCTATTCCACCTAGGACTTAGCTGCGACACAGAGTACCTTTCCCAGACCTGAAGAAGAGCTCTGTGTAGTTTGAAAGCTTGTCTCACCAACAAGTCTGGCCCAATAAAAGAGATTGCCTCATTCTGCTGTCCTGGGACCGACAACACTGCAGATGCAAATAAGTTGTCACTTGTAGCCTGAATATTTCTGGAAGATGGCTACTTTGGCTCTTTTGGAAGATGAACTTCATGAGTTTCTCTCTTGGGGGTAGAAGTCCCCATTCTAGCACCCTCGGATTGCTGTTGATGCTGACTGCTGATATAAAACAGTCCACATATCTTTTGACTTCTCTGTTTCTCAGTATTGTGCCAGAACAATCTGACAAAAGTCCTTTGGCCACTGACCAATCCCTGTCTGGTTAACTTTCCTGTTGTGGCTGAATGGTGGCTTGGTGAATAATTCATTACTACTGGGATTTTGTTAATTCCATGATTCACATATTCCCTTGAAGCTGTACTCCTGTCCCTTGTGTATTTTAAATGCTGTTTGTGTATTTTGTAACCTTACTTAACAAAATCTGCTTCAAACTAGGGATGTTAAATATTGGTTAATTGAATGGTAGAGTAACCTCATGAGTTCTGATTGGTTAGTTGGGCTTGAACAGCAGCCACTGTACCAGAGGCAGCAACATCAGGTGCCACCAGGAGCTGATCCACAAGGGGAACCAGTTTAAAAACCAGCTCCCCTCTCGGATCAGCTGCCTTTCGCCCTGCACCGCTGCCTCTCATAGAGGCAGCAGCATGGGGTGGCAGCAGTCCCTGTCTAAGGGGGTCTGAGCTCCTGGACCTGGCATGAGCCAGGCTGTTTGCCTGCCTGGCTTCCTAATACACTTGAAATGCAGAGCCGCAGCAGGGGTAGGTCCTGGACCCACTGTGAGATGGGACTGAGCCAGGCTGCTGGCCAGTCTGCTAGAAAATGTACTAGTGGGATAGGGGAAAAAATGTGTGTAATCTCTAGCATTAACCTTTAAGCTTTTGCTAATCGGTTAATTAACTACACTCTTACATCCCTACTTCAAACTTCTGATTAAAATGCTGCCTGTCGTTCATGTAGAACAGTGATTCTTAGAAGTCGTTAGTTACTGCCTTTACAACGGTTCTTCAGTAAGGCCCTCTTGTTAGTTAGTTCCCAGAGCCTTTGTGTAGGATTCTCCCTCACGCAGCTGGCAGCGACTAGATGTGCACAGATGCTGCACTTTACTTGGTGTGCACTTGAAGAATATGTTGAAGAGTCTGAATTGCAGCTGACGACTGACAGTTGTTAAATTAGCCTCGTAGTTGCATACCTGTTGGGGCAAGAGCTGCTGCCCATGTACAGTCATATAGCTCCAACTCGCACCAGTTGAAGTGGCCTCCCTGGTTTTAGGTCAAAATGTTATGGTATAAGAATGAGATGGATGCGCCTTTCCTCAGCGAAATGTGCAGAAGGCAAAGGGCGTGTGACGCATCAGAGGCCGAGCCCTAGATATCAGCTGGTTAATCTGCCAGTATTTCTGTAAAAGCGACTATTTACACACCCGCATCGGGCTTCCCAACAGTGCTGCTAGAAAGGACTAGCTGTAGTTCAAGGCAGCTAACGTTTACTTAGACTGGCTTTTCAAAGGCACTTGGCATTGCCTTAGCTCTGTTTGCATTTACTTCAGTGGGAGCACAGCAATGCTAAGCACTTCTGAAATCTATCCTAACACTTCTAGTGGGACTTACATGCTTTGAGAAACTTACTTGGCAGCCAGACCCAGTGGAGGAAACTACTTTGTCATCTTGTGTTTTTTTTTGGAAAGAGGAAGATTAACGCAGTGAAACTTACTACCTCTGACTAGCTTATGCAGGTTACTAATATTTGACCGTCACAGTACACTGCCTTGTGTTGCTGGAGTGGTAGAGTTCACTGGGACGGAACCAGTGATTGGAGGAAAACAAATTTGCGTTTTAGCTGCACTTGCTATGCTCTTGCTGCACTTGCTCTTGCTGACTCAACTGCTGGCCTCCTATGGAATGTGCATGCTGAAATGACTTCATTGTGTCTGTGCCAGGGACCAGGGTTATGTTGCTTCTGGGCGATTGCTCTGCAAGTGTTTGGAAGTGAAAACTACCACCCCCTCGGAATCCAGACCTGTGATCACATTGCTGCTTTCTGTTCTCTGCCTTGCAGGAAACAGGTTTTGGCTACCAAGGCTGAGGCGGAAAAGGATGGTGTGAAGGTCCCCACTACGCTGGCAGAGTACTGCATCAAAACTAAAGTGCCTTCCAATGACAACAGTTCAGATTTGCTTTATGACGACTTGTATGACGACGACATTGACGATGAAGACGAGGAGGAGGAAGATGCTGAGTGTTATGATGATGATGATTCTGGCAACGAAGAGTCGTGACCTGCTCCCTACATACCCCTGTACTGCCCTGCCGACTCAGGCCCAAAGGGAGCAGTGATAACCTAGCAACAGTCCAGCAAAAAATACACGGGGGAAATCAACAAACTCTTGTCTCCTGCTGTACGGATCTCTGATTGCTCTTTTTTATGGACCTCTGAGAGAGAGGGAGAGAGAGAGACCCTTCACAGAATGTCTGAATTCTTGCATTCTTAACCCCTTCATCACTGTATTATGATTTCTTTTTTTAAGAAAGAAACTCCCCCTTTTGCTTCTCTACGAAACGTTCACGGTGAAACAGGTTTGGTCTGTGTTTAGATTCTTTAATTAAACACAGTCTTGCATTGAGATGTTTAATGTATTTAACGCTGGAAACGAACCATTGGAAGTTGGGTCGTTAGGAGTTGACAAGTGCTGCATTTACTGGGAAGAAAATACAAACAAAAAACCACACAAAAAAGCAAATTGCCAAGGTTTAGCTGCTCCATTTACAATACTAGCGTGTGCACATTTGTGTAGCTTTGTGGTGGTGGTTTTTTCCTTTTTTCAAGGCTTGGGGCAGAGAATGTAAGCTGTTGTGTATTGAGCTTGATGGAATGTCTCTTACTGAAAGGTACAGTACTCCTTTTCAGCCTGTTGTAGTTAGGAAGTAGACAGCCTTGAGTCCAGAGGGCAGGAGCAACTGCCTTTTTTACAAGGTGTGTGATGTTGAACCCTGAATAAACACTTAACGCTTCACATGTGTATAACTGAGCCCTGGGTTCCTATTTATTTGTCAGATTGGTTGGGGCTTAAAACTACCGATGCTGTTCGTTAGAATGCTGCTGAGCTCTGCTGCTGGCTCCCACGTGGGGAGGGAGTGGTGAAAATACCAACTTAAATCTTCACGTCCTTCAGAAGGCAAATCGGCTTCCTTCCAAGTGGTGGCAGGGTCCGTCAGCCAGTATTAGTCAGTGTCTAGAATCTGCCATTTTCAACAAGCTGCTACACCTCGAGAGTCCAGCCTGTGCGTTGGGCATAGCTGCCACGTGCTCTGTTCTGCACCCGGAATGCCTGTTGGCTTTCAGCATCTTTCTTTTGGTTTGTTGCAAGGGGGGAGACGAGAGTTGTGAGCCTGCAAATGGTAGCCCTCCTCCTCTCCCCCACAACTTGCTGCTGGAAACTCAGGGGCTTGAGGCAGCATCCAAAAATCCATTGGGCAACAAGGCCCTCAAGACCTAGAACTACCAGTCCAACCTTCCCCAGGCCTCTCGGAGTCAAGCCAAGACTGGCCTCGTTACTGGAGAGGGAAAGGGGATCCCGATGACAAGCTTTGTTTGGGTCACATAGCCCTTGATCCTCAAGCCACCGCTTCAGCCAGGAACAAGATGCGTATTACCCCACCCCATGGGCGGAGGGTAGCTCAGTGTCTTTGGCTTGGAAACAGCTGCTGCTAGGCTGTCAGCGTGTTTTAGTGAGATGCAAAGTTCAGGCAGCTCAGGCGGCCAGGAGCTCCTCCGGGCTTACGACCATCCCGGACTTGAATTTTCTGAAGAATTTGATTGCTTCACCCAGATCCCATCCCAGACCTATGATCAAGTACTCTTATGGGTCGGCTGCAGGGTGGCGCCCTGCGTCCATCTTCGGGATGACTTTCTGCCCCCTGGGCTAGGATGGCATCTCAGTATACTGAGCTTCTAATCCCTACTCTAGTGGCGTGGGGGTGATTTGCAGCCCGTGCTGCTGCTCTGGTGTCAGTGGGAGTTTTGCCTGTGAGGGTGGGGGAGGTAAGGATAGATGTAGCAGGCATTTTGAGTCATCTTTAACAACATGACCAGAAAAAGCACCCTGTTGTATTTTGATTAAAGGCAGCCGCCAGCATAAATATGCATTCCCCCTACCCAGATCTTCATGCTGGAGGCAAGGACCTAACAGGCTGCCTGCATGCTTGGCATTCCCATAGGAGCTAGCACTTCTCCAAAAGCAGTCGATTGGGTTCTGTAGAGTCCCACAAACCTTTACCCACGCTCTCCAGGAGGGGAAACCTTTTTCCTGCGGCACTTTGGAGTTAGCGACTGTGTGCATTTAGAGAAGTTACCACTAAAGCAAGAGTGTCTGAAATGTGCACTTCCAGATTGAGCACCTGGTGTGTGCTAGCTTCTTAAAAGCCCGTAGGAATGTACAGTATAGTTAGATTGGAAGAACCAAGCTCCTCTCTCTCAAACTCTATGGGAATCGTTTTGAGACAGTTGGTGCTTCCTAGGGAAACTAACCTCACTTTTATTTTTGCAGTGATGGTGGTGAAGGGGATGGGTGTCACTTAAGACAGGGAAGCAAACAACCCAATCAATGCAACACCATTTGTGCTGATGACTTGATTTGAAATTGGGGATACTGCATCTTTCAGGATCTTTCCCTTGTACTTTGACAGTCTTCACTGTATACTCTCCAGTGACTTGTATTCTCAAGCTTGGTGTTGTAAGATGCATTATGATTTTTACCCTTTTTTTTTTAACAACCTATTCTGAGAGCTCCTACATTAGCAAGATTAACTTCTCTCCCTCCTGCCCCCTGCAGTGTCATCGCTTGTTGACTTGCTGGTTTCCTTTTCAAGATACAAACAACTGAAGTATGACTATGAAACTATTTAAGAGATTATGAGGAAATTGTTTACCTGACCGGTGTATTTTTTTTCTTAACTCCTCCTCTCCAACCAATGTTGACGTTTACATTTATAATTAAAGTGCAGTTTTCAACCATTCTGAAACCAGCAGGGTGCACTAGATTTTTCTTAGTAGTTTTCTTAGCTGAAAATCCTAGGTGTTTTTTTCTTTTTCTTCAATATAATTTACCAGAAAGGATTAACTGATGCATTTTGTGTTTGTCTTTTCCTTCAGTAGTTTATTTTGTCTTTTCTGCACATCTGTCTACTAATAAAATGTGAAATAAAAATATCCCTGTATTATGTCTGTCAACCAGACCAGTTTATTGCATAGGTTAAAAGCTCTGATTGCCAAAGAGGGTCCGTCTAGCCATCAGACTGGTTGAAAGATCTAGAACCTGCTCCCAAAATGTGAGTTAGCTTTTAGCATTAATGTCAAGGTGGGGAAAATAAATCTCAACATCCTTAAGAATGGCCAGAGGACACTGGAGAAATGCCCTGTGTTCTAAGCTACAGCACTACGATTGGCAAACTGCTCTTAGCACCAAAAGGTAAGGCTGGGAGGGACCTTGAGCTGATCTAGTCCAACTGAGCCCTGAGCCATGAAGTGGAAAGGGTAAGTGTAACTGATCAAGTTGAGAGGATTTCTGCACTTGTAGAATGCAGGTTTGTTTTCTTAGTACGATCCGGGTACCAAGACTAGTGTTAATCCAGTGTCTCAATTGCCTAAATGTATTTTGCTAATCCAGGGCTAATGGGGAGGAGGGATAGCTCAGTGGTTTGAGCATTGGTCTGCTCAACCTGGGGTTGTGAGTTCAAGAGGCCCATTTGGGGCAAAAATTTGTTAAGGGTGGTACCTGCCTTCACAGCAGGACTTGCACTTGATGACGGTTCAAGGTCCCTTCCAGTTCTAGGAGATAGGCAATCTCCATTAATTAAAATTTATTTAATTTAGGGCCAGAGCTTGTTGCAGTTACTGTAACATTTGTAGTAGTGCTTGGCTCTCATTAAAAATCTGCAGCACAGAAACTGGCCTAGGGTCCCTGCTAGGCTTCTGTCTGCTCTCAAGTCAAGACATAGTTGAAGAAGGCTGGTGTCGTGGTGGGCCAGGGTTGCCTGCTTGTTCTGAAACTGTCTCTCTGTTCCCTTCCCCTATAATTTGCTGATGTTCTAAACACCTGCTAAAATTAGAGGCAGTGCTCATGTGAACTGGCCCTGATTTCTTTGAGCAAATACCTACGTGTGACCTGTCGTCATGCAAGTGTTGCTTAGGACAGTTCACCTGTTAGGTGAGGTATTTTTGAGCTGTAGCAAGCTGTCTTCATGCAAGTGCCTGCTGTATAAGTGCAGCTGTGGGCAGATGGTACTGCCTGGTACTCCATGCCAGCACCTCCAGTCAGAGCTCAACAACTTTTTCCCTGGAGTACTAGGACTTTTTTAAACAAAAGCCCTGCATTGGACACATTCGATTGGTATCAAAGCTAATGGAGTACTTCCATGTCTATGTACCATGGTCAGGCTGCTGCCAAAGGCGGTTACCAATTTGTTATGCAAACAGGGGAGAAGATCTAGTCCAGCTGTGGCCAATCTGTAGCTGGGGAGCTGCATGTGGTTCTTGTCTTCTCCTCCTCTTCTTCCTCTTCTCTCCCTCTCCCCCCCCCCCCCCCAAAACAGCCTGTTCCTCCTGGCTCTCACTGGAGCAGGGGAACTGTCCAGCATGGCTGTTTAAAGAGGGAGTATAAAGGTGGCATCAGCTGCCAGGAGCCTGATGTTGCCAAAAAGCCTCTAAATGTGTTTTCTTAAAAGGGCAGACTTTTTTTTGGGGGGGGGGGGGGGGGGGGGGCGGCACAATCCACGGCTGTATTGGCTCGTTGCCTGGAATGGGTCGGCCACCCCCATGCACTCATCACCAACTGAAGCTGTTGCAGGGCCTGTGAAGAAAGCAGCAGCTTTGGAAGCTGTATATGAACACAGACTTGCAGGTGTGGGAACTACCTACATTCCCCCCAGCTTAGCTGAGCCAAAGTGTTATAGCCTGGTCAGTACAGTAGCAAGGAGGCAGGGCTGCTGCTAGTGCTTTTCACAGTGCCAGAAAACCTGCTGCCTTTCAACTTTGAAGGCAAGTCTGCACTGCAGTTAAACCTTGGGAGCCTGAGTCAGTGCCAGGGCCAGCTGTGGGGTTTACTGGCAGTGTTGGCATTAGTCCATGCTTGAGCCCAGCGAACATCTCTACTGCAACCCCACAGCACCCTAGATTATGTGGCTAACTGCAGTGCAGATACCAGAAGCCTTAATTGCGATTAGTAGCTGAGTCAGCTGACAAATGAAGGAGCCAGGTAGCTCTAAACTTGGAGTCATGTCAACAAAAGCACCACACTGCCCTAAAAGGGAAGGGCTTAGCCTTTCATGCTGGAAGCTGCTCGCTGCACTGCTCCGCTGTGGAATGCTACTAAACCCTTGTTCCCGTTTCTGCACGGTTAGGGCACAGCCTTGTGGTGCTTTTGTCTAGCACCCGCCTATAATGGTCAGCAAACAAAGCCCACCAGTGACATCTCTTTGACCGCCATAGCCTCATCGTGTAGATTCCCAATACTGGTCCCTCTATTTTGTCCATCTATGTGCAGAATAAATGCTACATTCACCACCCGAGGCTGAGCACACCTACTAATCAATCAGCAGGGCAGCATTTGATTCTCCCATGTGGCCACCCCAGCGCACAGCTTACAGGGACCATGGTCTCAAGACAATTTCTTGTGCCCTGGGAGAGCAAACCTGGCCTCTTGCTCAGTAAACTGGTTGGAGCCATGCATAGTAGTGGGTGACATTCATCTCCACCCACCACGTACATTGTAAAATGGTGCTGGGAGAGCCTGCTGAATGAGAATTGGTAAGCAGAGGTGGAGCTGTTGTATAAATTTTACTTGTTTGAATTTCCTAGAGAGGCCTATGAAAACCACATTCAGCAGGGCAATTACAGCTCTAACTTTCCTCCCTTCCACCTCCCATGAACTGGTGGTTCCTAGTGTTTACCAGTCTCTAGGTTTAGTCCAGAAAGCGCTTCCTACAACCACGAACACTCTCTGCTTCATGTTGGAATCAGATGCAGAAGAGCCTAAGTGAAGAGGCAGCCTGAAGGAAAAGCAGTTTTCAGGCTTGCATTGCCTTTGTAAAGTTTGGCCCCTAAACATACACCCATTTTTCCTATGGGAGAGTCATTAACTGACAGACTGAGGTAACTGGAAAGAAAGCTGACCTTGCATATTCCCACCTGGAAGCATTAAAAGATGCAGTGTGCACAGGGCAAAATGCTATGGCACAAGAGTGTTCTGCCGCTTGGCAGTACATAAGTCCTGGAGACGTGATTCAACTGAAGATCCACCATGAAAACACCAAGCCAAAGTGCCATTCCTCAATTAGACAGCCCTAAGTAAATCCTAAAATTCAGGAGCTTCATAGTCTTCCTTGGTGATGTCTAGCACACAGCAAAAGGCCTCTGCTGCCCACCTCTGGCCAACTGCAGCTCAACCTTGATCGAGCATTTATTTGTGCACACAGATTAGATCCAGAGCTAACAGAGTTGGGTTGACAGCTGGCCTTTAAGTGTTCTGTATTCATGGCTTACCAGGGCCATATTCAGCCTAGAGTAAGATGCTGCTTGTACCCTAGCAGCCTCTGCCAGCAATAGTCAGGAGCTGAAGGCAACAGTAAGATGTGTATTAAAGATTCAAAACTAGCCACCTTAGGCTAAACCCAGACTCCGGTCAGAGGCTGCTCTTCCACATCCTACGATTGAAGAAAGATGCCAGGACAGAGTCCCCACTGCAAAAGGAGCCAGTAACATTTCCGGTGACTTTCCTGGGACTTCAGCCAAGCAGCAGCAGCTCCTGCCTCATCCTTTAAGAGCTTTGGAAGGCAGCTCTGATCAATGGCTCCAGTGCATTCATGCTGGCTGGAGCTGCCAGCATATCCTGCAGCATGGGGCCAGTTTTGCCTCTCATTTAAGGAGGATTTATCCTTGGATGTTGACAGCTTTTTTAAAAGGCCCAACAGTTCTATCCACTAAGCTACATTTCTGGGGGAGCAAAATGCAGAGGAGAGGACCAGCATGAAGTCCATCTGCTGAAAAAGCAGGGAGGCAATGCAATGAAGAAGGGTGATGCTACTTCCGTTGAATGGGGTTGTAGAGTCTCACAAATCCGCACAGCGCTCCATCCAACTAGCAGGGATCCAGCTAAGTACCCAATCCTGAACAGGCACCAGTGCCCTTGAAGGCACAAGCAGTGCAATCTCGCTCACCCCTTCTCCCCAAAACCCCACACCCTCAG